CCTGTCCTCTGAAAAGTGAACTAGTAACCTGAGAAAGCATTACATCTGACAGTCTGTGCACATAGGGATCTTGGGAGAAAAGAAAACCTTTTTTGAAGAAATAAGGGTGATAAATGCAAGATATTAGATTTCACTAAGCAAGGGACAACCCTAAGGTTACCTTGGGAAATTATGATTTATTAACTGGGAATTTGTTACAAGTGCTAGGTGTATTGAGTTGTTGGGAAGCATGACACCAAAATGGTGAAGCTGGTATTGCTGGTGCATTTTGCTAACAGAATTGCTGGTGTTTGTGGTGTTTGTAAGCACAATGTAGGGTGGAAGCTATAGCCAGAATAGTACCAAATAACCTCAGTTGAGTACAGTTATTTCTGAGCACGTGCATTAAAACTTCAAGCTCAAGTTCTAACAAAAATCTTAAGTTGATGTGTAGTATTTCTTGTAAATTGATGTAGTATGAATGTTGTATACAGAGATGCAGTTGAGAATTTATTAGTGATAACTGAAAATAAACTGAAGGTTTTCTTGTGCAAAATCCTTGCTTATATGACTTCCTCTGTGGAGCAGTGAAACCAAGCTGACCCAAGACTGTCTGGATTCTGTGTTACCATTGACATTCCTCTCTCCAGAAGGCGTCGCTCCTGGCTCTACTAAATGATGGCCCTCATATTGCAGGGAGATAAGTACAGAGAAGTTTGTTTATGCCTCAAACACCAATACATGACACTTCTGGGAAATGTGAAACCCTTCAAGGTTATGAATTTGTACAGTTAAGATCTTTTAAGTAGGGCTTTTTTCAAGTGTAGGTGGGCATTGCTTTCTTTTATTTGTTTTATTCTCTTTTAAGCGTTGGTACATAAGCAGAATCAGTAGAGGAATAATAGTGAGAGAAGTATAAGGTACTACTAGGCTCATCTATGGAGTTAGTGTTGTTTACATTGGAGAATGCTCTTTTCTGTGTGAAAACTTGTTTTTTCTATAAAAATGTGAGAATTGTTGGAAATTCTGAAAAGCTTGTATAAAATTCCAGAAAGTAGCAGATAATGGATTAGTCTTCTACATGCATCTCCTACACGGTTTTCCTAGAATGCAGCTTTTTTTTTTTTGGGGGGGGGGGGGGGGGGGTCTTGGTTACATTATTTAGGACCTTGCTGCAGTTCCTCCAACTTATTTATTGGTGTGCCTCCATTTAGTGTAGAACAGTTTGGAAATAATGAAATGGCATTTACTTTTCTGTGTGTATTACAACTGGAATTCATGATCATCTTCACAGTGCAGAGGTGGTATGTGTAGTAAGACTTAATCATTTTGACATTTTTAAACTGGACTTCAGTTTGGTTGTCTGAGCAGTTCTTAATGCATATGTAGTTCTTAAGGGTCTGGAGCCTGATTTGTGTTTTCTAGAAAACTGGGAATGACTTCTGGTTGAGCAGTGAAAAACTTCTATGGAGTACTAGTGGTTTACGAGCACAGGATCTTGCATAGACTTCTGTGGGTTGTAACCTGCTCTTGAGTTCATAGGAATAACACAGGTGATGTAAGACCATATTTTGAAGAAAATATATTATGTGATGTCCTAACTAAAGGCAAAAACATAGGAGTCTGATGGATCTGAAGCCGGGTGCTGGAAACTCTTCCCTTGAGAAAGGAGTGTGCAGAATTCAGCTCAAGGTGAAACTTCATGGGTGATACCTCTCAACAGTGAGATCCCCGAGGTGTGAGAGCATTGGATCAGATGTGTGCAGCTGTTCTCAGTGTAAATTGTTGATCTTGGTGGTGTAACATCAGTTGTGATTTTACAAGCCTTTTCTAACGGCAACACTTACCCAGTGGCTTGCTTATGTTGCCTTTTTTTTTTTCTGAACCTGTTATGCTATGATGCATCCACTGGCTCTGTTTTATATATTCTAAACAGAATTTGAATATATCTGTTTGGAGTTCATTTTTACTTGGCGAACTCTGAATTTGTGCAGCTAGAATAGCGCTGTGATTCCCAGATCATGCTGTACTTTAATTTGCCTGCGGCAAGTTGTTTGATAAATTGTTGTTGCAAGCTATTAAGGATCATTTTCTAATAAATACTTTCTAAGTTGGATGTGTTTTAATACCTTTATGAAAACCAGTTTGCTTTATCGGCTGTTTTCATTTTGGGAATATCCTTTGTCTTTGAACTTCTTGAAACCAGAAGTTTCAAATAAGACATCAATATCAGTCATCTAGGGTTGTTGTGAGGTGAAAATAAGAAATCAATGCATTTTGGAGTTTCTGGAACTGTTGAAAAAAGGATTTTTTTGATTGTCACAACAAATGTAAACAGTATTCTGTCATTAAAGATAAATTATTGGAATTCTACAAGCTAAATATATTGTGTGTATGAATGGATACATAAACGTGTGCTTTATGAAAACTCAGACAACGTGAAATTTATTTTTGCAATTGTTGACTTGAATCTTCAAGGTAAATGAGATTATTTGGTTCTTTGAATGCACATCAGGGAATAAAAGTAAGGCTATTAATAAAACTAGAACAAACAAAACCCAAGTTCACCTAGAGAGAGGCCAGGCATATCTTCAGGCTTGACTGAAATAAACTGTCTTGACAGATCACCTACTTCTTCCTCTTTCTGCTGAGATACGTAGAGTAGTTCATGATCAGGATTTTTCTGTTTTACTTTCTAAAGGAATGGATTAGAACTGGAGAACACCGTACAGTGTATTTGAAAAGCTGTGAAGTATAAAAAAAAAAAAGCTTAGTGTGGGCTTTTGAAGGATGTCTGTAGGCAGCAACATATAAACAAATGCTGGCAAAGATTCAAACTGATACTTTCAAATGAAACGTGAGTATTTTATCTCGATCTGCTGAGGAGCTACCGCTCCTCTTTTCATAAGGGTGCATCACCTGGTGCCCTGCACTCACCAAATAGAACAGGAAGACGTAATTGGAAAGGATCCTTTCTGGTCTAACTACAGAAACAATCCATCTGGGCTGTGTTGCAAAGGATTTCTTACGTTTTAAAATCTAGAATAGCAGAACAAGACATCTGTGTGTGGTGTACTGAAAGACAGTTCCTTGAGACAGTGGAGTAATTTCATGGTTTCACTACTACAGATGTGAGAAGAGATTCAGGTAGCATGTGGGAGGTGATTGTGAAGACTGGTGCTTCACTTTACCTTCTGGCTTTCTTGTGTGGTTTAACGGTTCCTAATGCAAGCTCTAAACTTTCCTCATCAGTGTTTCTGTAACACGGTGTTGAACAAATGGTTAGGGACTCATTCTACATGCAAATTCAGACCTATAGTAATGTTCCCTTCTGGGAAGGGATGGCTGTTGTCCGGCGATGCCAGAAGATTTTGGGGAGACATTTCTTTGACGTTTTCAACTTGATTCCTGATCACTTTGTGCTGTACAGGGGAGGGAAAGTGGTTACATGATGGTACAGAAGTCTGTTGCAATACAGAAAATAAAGAGGAGAACTGTTGGCCCTGCAGCCAAGGCTAGCTGTCCTGATCTTTGTCAAACAATGTCATGTGGATGCGTATGGCTGTTTGTAGAACTGCAGGCTATGCAGAGGTGAGACTTTGTGTGAAGTTAGCCGGTCTGGTGGAACAACACGTGTAGGTAATGAAAAACTGATACCTGTAACTGTTGTGATTTTAGAAGAAACGTGGTATTAAAGATAATGATGGTGGTTTTTTGTGAATCTTATTTGAGATCGGATGAAGCAGAAGTGGAAGACAGAGGGTTCTAACTAGTCGTTTGAACAGTGCAGACTACTTCACGTTAGCCTCTTTGATACTGGGGTTAAAGCAGATGATGATGACCTTAGAAAGATGAACAGTTATCCTCTTTGTCTAAAGCTTTGCTAATTCTTATTCGGCACAGTGTTTGTCCTGCTGCAATTACTACAGCTGTAGTGTATTAAGTGACGTGGGTAACATCTGTCAGGGGAGATTGCAGATTGGGAGGGCTGAAGTGGTGCTCTAAGGGGATCAAAAGGTGTCTAATAAAAGTTCATCTCTTTATTGAGATAATTAATATTTACACCATGCAAGTATGAGAAAGCTATGTGGATAGGCGAATACCAGAAAGGCCAAACAAATCTACCTTGCTGAAGTAGCTTCTCTACGGAAAAAATCACACTTTAAAGCATTTCTTAGAACTTTCAAGCAGCACAATATTTTATTTGCTACTGGAAGGCTTATTTTCAGTTTTGATGATTGTAGCTGTTCCTTCAGCAAAACTGGCCTTAATCTGAAATGCAATAAAACTATCACTTCTGTTTTTGGGAAGGCAGCACCTGAAGAAAGGGGGCTTTGTAGCATGTAAGGACAAGACCCGAGGCAGAGCTTGCCCGCTGGGGGGTTGTCCAGCCGCCCTGCTCTTAGGCCTTTTTGCTTCTGCGGCTTCTGTGCTGCGTGCAGGAGCCTCCCCGAGCAGATTTCCTGTCAGTGTGAGAGCAAGGGGGAGGCTGAGGGGGGAGTGTCTGCACAGGCAGAGCGGGAGCTTCAGCAACTGCCGTACTGAACCACCAGCTGCCCCCTTCAAAGGGCAAAAAAGTGCCGTCGTTTTACACCCGCCCCCTCATAGAGAAAGCTCAAGGCCTGAGGGAGAATCGCGGGGCGGCCCCGAGTCCTCCCTGGCCCCTTTCTGCCCGGAGCTGGCACCGCCGTCGCCGCGTCCCTGTGGGCAGCGGGAGCCCTAAAGCAGGGGGCGAGGCAGAGCTCGGCCGGGGGGGAGGAGGGAGCGGAGCCCGGCCCGGGCGCTGCGGCGCGGGCAGAGGCGCCTCCATCTTGCTGGGACGGGGGCCGGCAGCCGGCCCTGCCCGGCGAGGGGACCCGCGGCTGGGCTGGCGGCTCGGAGCCCCGGGCGGGCTGAGGGTGGCGGCCCGGCCCCACTGCGGGGCGGGACCGCCCGGGGCCGCGCTGCCGCCGCCGCCGCGAGCACCTTGCGGGGTCGGGAGCGGCCGCCGGGCCTGACCCTTTCTGCGCTTCTGCCCGCAGATGGCGCAGTGCGTGAGCAGGGTGGAGCTGTCCGTGTCCTGCCAGAACCTCCTCGACCGGGACGTCGGCTCCAAGTCGGATCCCCTCTGCGTCCTGCTGCAGGACGTGGGCGGCCGCCAGTGGGCTGAGGTACGGAGGCGGCAGCGCCCTCCGCGGTGCGGTCGGGTCCGCGCTCGGCGTTCCCGGGGCTCGTGGGGTGGGGTCGTCGGGGTCCTGCTGCTGTTGGCTTCGTTCGCTGCTCGTGTGCTCGCCTGGAGATGTGGCAGGGCCGTGGTTTGGCTGCTCCAGCACGTGCTGTCCTTTCTGTGCTCAGAGTGCGCTGTGTTCCTGGCCTCCTGCTGTTCTTTTTTGCCTTTTTTCTTCAACTTTGTTTCTGTGTTTGTACAGTTAGATCGCACGGAGAGGATAAAGAATTGCCAAAACCCTGAATTTTCAAAGAAGCTGGTTGTCGACTACTACTTCGAGAAAGTGCAGAAGTTGAAATTCGGGGTGTATGACATTGACAACAAGTCCCCTGATCTAAACGACGATGACTACCTTGGAGGGATCGAGTGCACGCTGGGACAGGTATGCAGGGGAACACGTGAAGCGATGTACAGTGTAACAGCAAGCACCGGGTTTGTTGTGAAAAACTGGAAGCAAGGCTGGTTTATGAAAGGCTTTGACACATTCACGTTTCAAAACGTCTTGTTCCTTATGCTTATTTAGCATATTGGTTTGTGTCCCTGCTGAATGTAGTTAGAGAAATCACGTTGAGTGCAAAGTGAAGGTTAGATGTGCATGGTTTACCAGTCGTTATGGAATGTAAGAAGCAATTGTAGCACTAATGGGAGATTGGGAATGAGGAAGGCGTGGAGCCTGGAGAACTCTAACAGAGCCTTTTTGGTTTCCTTTGCACAAAAAGATCGTCGGACCATAAATTCAGGGACTGTCTGAAATTCTGCAGTTGATTCCTGAAGAGGAGTTTGTATTGTTGGGTAGGAGAAGAAAGGTGGTATTTGGGATATTAAAGAAAGACTTGATTAGCTAAATAGTCTTTTCTGATTTTCAGCAGCTGTCTGACTACTTGTAATGTAAATATATTGGGGGAAGCAATAGTAGGAGACTAATGTAAAACTTGAGATGTACTAGTGGATATTATTTTGTGGATAGGGAGGGAAAATTTTAAGACTGCTTAATCATTTCAGAAGCACAAACTAGTATTTGTCACTGCAGGAAATGGACTTAAACCCTTTAGAGCTTTTTAGGAGAGTTTTAAAAAATTCATCCTAAAGAGTAATTCTTTGTTTTTTGTCTACCTTGATGTTTATAATATCTGTCTTTTAACCTCAGGTTGTGTCCAGCTCAGTGTTCACTCGACCTCTGGAACTGAAGGAGGGAAAGCCAGCAGGAAAAGGCACCATAACGGTAAATGACCTGGTTGTATGTGGAAGAAAATGATTTCTTATTCTTTGGTATGTGGTCTGGGACAAAGTAACGTTTCTGGTTTTGTTTGTCTAATTTCAAATTCTGCATGTGTACAGGAAAGGTATGCAATTTGTACCATACACAGAGTTTCTCCAAGCGCAAAGCATAAGCAAAACTCTGTAGGGTGTGTGTGTGTGTATATGTGTATATATTTATATTTTTTTTTCCTTTTGGCACAGATTTCAGCAGAGGAGATTAAAGATACCAGGGTTGTCTATTTAGAAATTGAAGCCCGAAACTTGGACAAAAAGGTATTGATTGATTTATTTTTAATGATACTTCATGCTTCTGTAGGTTTTGCTAGCAAAAAGGCAGTAACTGTAAAAATAGTCAGTCTCACTGTGTTGTAAACCTTCAACTAAGCTCTGTAATCCTTGTGTAAGAAAGGCTTGCTGTGTTTTCTTACTGATAATGAAGTGAACTAGAGACATAATAACATGCTGAAAAATACAGTCTTAGATGCGAATTTCAACCACCAGGTTTTGGTTCTGGAGGATTGTTTTGGAATAATGTATGTGTTAGTATATTAAATAATTGTCTAGATTGTTGTAACTGTGCAGTTAACTGGGCTTTCTGTAATGATATTAAAGCAGAAGAGGTAGAAATTCAGATAAGCTACCTTGATGTTATATTAAGCCAAGCAGAATGGCACAATTCATCGTAACAAAATACTCTGAGGAAGCACTGTCTTGGAATCAGAGATGATGTATTATGATGGCTTTGAAAGTGCTGCAGTTTAAAAGAGAAAAACAAAATGAAAGAGGAAAACAAATGTATAGCTTGTTTGACTGTGGTTTGTTTGAAATGTTATGTACTGATGAGCTAGCTGTTCTCTCATTTGAGTAAAACACGAGTCTGATGAGTTCTGTCGGGGTTTTGTTTGCAGGATTTCCTAGGTAAATCGGATCCGTTTTTGGAGCTGTACAAGCAGGGCGATGCTGGAATGTGGCAGTTGGTCTACAGATCAGAGGTAGTATTTCTACACTGATGTGTTTCTTAGTGTTGAGTTGATCTGACAGCTTGCTCCTACCTACCAAAAGCAGGAATGTGTTGCTACTGGTCATGCCATGCACCAGTTCTGTGATGAAATTTGTATTGTACCCAAAAAAAAAAAGGGATTTGGCTCACTGACCTGGAAGAAAATGGTTAATTTGCTGCCTGGTCAGTGGGTTAAGCTGGGTTGATGAAGAGTCCAACCGTGCACCAGGGGAGAAAAGTGGTAGGACTCTTCTGCCTTTCAGTGGCGATGATTGGCGTGGCTCTACAATTGAACCCTACTTTGTATTTCTATCTTCTATTTCTAATAGAACTTTTTGCTTGGCGTTCCATACATTGTCAAGGTGGAACTGACTGGGGCTGTTCAGATAGCCCCACAGAAGTACAGAACCCTCATGATATGTTTCTTAGTAACTTGCATACTGCATCCCTCATATGACATTATGCTGTCATTTTTTTTTTAAGGTGATTAAGAACAACTTAAATCCGTGCTGGAGGAAGTTCAGTGTTCCCTTGCAGACGTTCTGTGGTGCTGATTTTAATAAACCTATCAAGGTACAGCCTTCAGAATTTGAAATTCTGTTGTTGTAAGAAACCCAATCTGTTGCTATCTAAACTATGAGTAATCAAGTTGTCTAATCATATTTAAAATTTTAGGTTGCCCTTCTGGAATAATAAGAGTATGGCACATAAGTGATTATATGTCTATTAAGTATGAAGTCTGTCCTAAAACATTGTGAGTTGTCAAATTGAGAAGTTAGGGAATGCAGAAGTGACACTCTTCCTAATGATTCATCGTCATAAGAATTATAAATGATTATTTGGCTATTCTGGCTAGCATTTCAGGTTGGGGACTTTCTGTTTAATTGTGGTTTTCTAACACTAAGTAAAAACTGTGAGACTTGTACTTGATAAGCTTGAATTTATTAGGATACTGACAGAGTGGGCAGCTAACAGCTTTGTCCATTCATGAGAATGGTGGTCTTATTACAGCTGTTTTTCTTTGTTTGAACAAGAAATTTGGTTTTGAGTCAGAAATGAAGTTCCTTGTAGTCTTGCGTATGATGATTAATGTTCTCTGGTCCTGAATTACGGAGGTGGTAGCAGACCAATTACAACTTTCTACAAGTTTCTACAAAAATAATCTGTTAGCAAATTAATTCAATTTCTGTTCTAAGCAATGCACTGATAATACAAAGGCATTTAAAGCCATAACTAGTCTTACGTTGAGTATAGTCTCTGTTTATCTAACTCCTAAACACTTTCCGTTTGCAGAATTTTCCTGCCTCACCCTGTTTGTGAAGAAACCTCATGCTAGAAGTTTGATTTGAAAGGTTTAACAAAAAGCAATGCATGCTAACCTTTTAATTTGTGCAGCATGAGAGATTGAAAGAATTACTGAGATTATTAACCTGGAAATAGATGTTCAAATTTGCTGAGTTTGTTGAATATGTGACAGTGTTCTCAGTGGCAGTCGTGAGCTTTTGCTCTAGGGTAGTCAACAGTCTTAGGTCAGAAAGAAGTCTTGGTCCAAAAGTTCTGAAATAAATGTGGAAAGGAAGTGGCAAAGAGATGTATGTTACCTTGTCAAAACTGACATGACATGGCATGATTTAGACATCATATTACTGAAGTTTAAGTTTCTACAGTCTAAATTCCTTTTTTTTTTTTTTTTTTGGAAGCTTTCTGTGCTTTGGGATTCACTTTGAAAAGCTGTTCTAAAAAATTTTAATTTAAGATTTTTGCTGTTAGTTCCTTTCAGATAAAATTGTTGATGCATGTGCAAATAACATATTAAGTTTCACAGTGCATCAGAGAAAAAGGATTAAATTTTCCTTTTTTCCCTACGGATTATGGAAGTTGATCATAAAAGGGACTTGAGACAGGTGGGAACAGTAGCACTAAAGAATGTAAAACTGCACTGGAGATGTGTTTTTCATTTGGTATGTGATGCTCTGAATCTCTTGTTCGAGGCTTCCTAAGATCTTTTTGGAACAGTTACGTGTAGAAAAATGATTGCTGAATGGAGAAGTCCTTGTACTTCAACATAATGGAAATGTCCATGCATGTGCATAAATCAGTTTGTTGTGTCTCGTAAACATTAGCTTTGCTAGCAACGCATGATACTTCTGTAGTGGGGAACGTGCACTAAATGTGCGTCTGTAAACATAAATCTTTAGGTCAAATTAACGATGCTGCCTAATATTTTGGTAATTCTTTCTTTGCTGTGATGCAGTCATGTTGTTTTTGTTCCCTGCTAAAGAACAGCTCAGATTTTTGAAACAATGTAATCTTCTTACAGTTTCTTCAAGAAAAAGGGCAAATAAAAGCAGTTTTTCTTCCCCATAATTGTTTAAATAGAAATAGTAAACGTAAGATTTAAACAAACAAAACTCCCTTCCAGTCCATGCATTTGATGGCATGTGCATAAAGGCGAATCAATTTTCTGTGAATGTCAGAAATTTTTCTTGTAGATTGAAGGGGGCCTTTGACCCACTGGATATATTTCATAGTTCTTAATGAATATTGCATTGTTCAGTTGAGAGTAATTGCATACAGTATCTTGCAGTATTGCTATCTGACCCCTGAGGTCAGGCCTTGTTTCAGAAAGCAGTTGTTGGCAGCTTCAGGTACTTGTTCCTACGTCACATCTTCCACGTGTTGTTTGTAGCAGCACCACTCTTCAGACTACATGCTGTGAATCTAAGCCCATTTTAGAAAACCCTTGCAAAAGGAGGTTTGTTTTAAGCTATATCATGCTGTGAATTGATAACAGGAACTGGTCCTAAATATGTATTTTTGGCGTGGACAAGAGCAAGCAGGAGGAAAAAGGGAGGTGCGTAGAGGTGGCAGCAGCTAAAATTCTCTGCAGTTATGTCTCGGCTGTATTAGCACCGACGACACCCCCAGTCTGTACCTCTGCATGATGGCCCCCTTGAGCAACCTCCCTCACATGGTCAAATCACTTTTGAATGATGTTTTAAACGTTAGAGTTGTTGAGAGAGGCAGAGTGGGGTTCATGGAGGAGCCTGGAGGTTGCTTCCTAGTGAAGCATGCAGAAGAGAGGAATGGAGCAGTGGTGGGTTCGGAAAGACGAAGGGGAAGAAGCATGAGGCCCAATCTCTAAAGTGATCTTGTTTTCCTATTGGAGAGACTGAAGGATAGCATGGTGCTTCCAATTTGGCTAGGTTAGACCACAATTCATCCAGCTTTTTGTATCGATTTCCCACTGAAACCAATGGAATATCCCTTGTGGATTGAAGGCAGTAGGAAACCTTCAAAGAAACCTGTCCTCGAGATTGGTGATGTAGCTATTCGATGCTGACTTCCTTATCTAGGTGTCATTTGTAGGTTCGTCTTGTCCCATTGTCCTGAGGAGAAAGCTGTTAGTATTTTTCACTGAGGCAACACCAGTTCCTTGCCTAATAAAAGCAGACCTCATAGCGAGCTTTTGAGTCGGGGTAGTACATGAACTTCAGCAGGGGGGAAAGTAGCTGTCCACAAACTTTTTCTTGACTGACTGCTTCTGGATTTATGTCCTGCTGTACTGTGTATCATGCACGTTCTAAATGCTTCTGTAGTTGTTGATTGGCTGGGGAACTGTTGCCAATGTACATTGTACTGGTTTTGTTCTAAGCCACAGTTGTTATCAGCTTTATTTTTGAATATGTTGGGGTTTTTTTGCATTCTCTACTTCTAACTGAAATTCACGCTGTGTGTCTCTTTTTACTGTGAGATTTCAGTTAGTGATACGGATGACAAGACCAGTTCAGATTTGATGGGGGAATATACTACCATCAGTGCAAAGCTGTTGGAAGCAGAGAGATTCTGTGGTGAGCAGCTGTCATTCTCCCTAATGCAGTACACTTGCCCATTGCTTGCTGTCTCTTCTCTTCCAGGTACAGTGTGCAGATCATGATAGTGATGGGTCACATGACTTGATAGGCATTTTTGAAACTAGCCTGGCTCAGCTGCAGAAAGCAGGTGACGGCTCTCCGGTGAGCTTTCTTAGTTCCTCAATTAAGTCCATATTTCGGTCTTTCACAAACCCTTTTTAGTACTGATCTCTAAGAGATTTTTAGGTTTTGCCTGCAAAACTGATTTTTTTTTTTGGTTGTATCTTCGTATTACTAAGCCAGTATTTGCGGGGGGGAAACCTGACAAGGGGAGGATACTACTGCTTTTCTTGGGTAGTGTTAGCCCTCCTGTTCCTACAGACATCCTTGAGCCCATTGTCTGCTGGCCATGTGCCATTTCTTGCCAGCAATTCTTTGTGCTTTTGCCTCTGCTGAGCCAAGTGGAAACAAAAGAGCTTCTTGTTAATGCTGTAACAGAAGAGCACAGAGGTAGGACTCCTCTCAGGTAACATTTGTGCCTGAGCTGGTTGCCCTTACTAGCACTCTGGTTGCTTTTTTAGCTAGAGGAGAGAATTGGTGTTTCCAAGGGTCTGCCATTAAGAACCTGTGACGTAGGGTTTTTGGCCTCCTTCCTTCCCTCTGCCTGCTTTGCGTTTTCCTCATCTGTTTGTGTTCATTCCTTTCCCTTAACTGATAAAGAATGTGATTATGTTAAGAGAAATGCTTGCGTTTGTGACAGACTTTTTTGTCCTCTGTTACAATGACTGTTCGATGATTCTGTACAGACTAACAGTCATGTCCCAAAGAGGGACTTTCTTGAAGTCTTGACGTATGTGCTTTTGCCTAATGATGGTAGCAAAAACATCAATTTAACTTGTCAAATAACAGCCACAGTAATCACAAACCTTTTTAAAATGAAGTCTCAGAATATTGCCGGGTAACTCTGAAATTGTGTAATGTCTGACACTGTTCTGTTTCAATAGTTTGCACTGCTGGAAATGCAGGTGTTCTATTACTTGCTTCTTGAATGCTTGCTTTCTGTAGGTGGAATATGAATGCATTCATCCTGAGAAGAAACAGAAGAAAAAGAGCTACAAAAACTCTGGCATTATTAGGATAAAATCCTGCAAGGTAGGAAGATTATTGTCATCGTTTGGCTTTTTTATGTTCTTATTGTAAAGAAATGTGTTTTTGTGGGGAGGAGGTGTAACGCTGTTTGTCTGTTTCTCTAGATTGAAACAGATTATTCATTCCTGGACTACATCATGGGAGGCTGTCAGATTAATTTTACGGTGAGTTGTTTCCCCGCTGCACATCTTGGTAGATGCTAAGACAAGGGCAACGGAGTTGTGGTTAGTACTTCAGTTTGCAGTGTGTGTTTTCTTAGGAAGTGATGAAGACTGCCAAAAAGAAGTAACTGTAGATTTTTACTTTTTGCTATTAAGTAGCAAATTTAATGGATCCTGAGTTTCTTATGCTTCTTTTGAGAAATCAGTTCTCAGTCTGGCAGTGGAAAGGACTACTACTCCTTAGACATGCATGTGACTCTGTCTGAAAAGGTGTGCGGGCTTGTTTGCCCATCCCTGTACGGGACTGTCTTTGTGCCTGGGAGGAAGGGAGCAGTGTGGAGCTAGCCTAGCCCTCTGTTTTTGGTTATGGTTGTTGGTTCTCAATTGCTTATGGTGATGCTTCAGTGACCTGTGTTATCATCTTCTGAACTGATTAGGTGGGCATAGACTTCACTGGCTCCAATGGCGATCCCAAGTCACCAGATTCTCTTCACTACATTAGCCCAGATGGGATAAATGAGTACCTGATTGCCATCTGGAGCGTGGGAAGTGTAGTCCAGGATTATGACACGTATGTAAGAGGCTCTTGATTGATCTAGTCACCACATGAAAATGTGTATTAAATGACACACAGTGTGTCACAGTGGGTGTCATTGATCAAGGCTGATCGCTCATTCCAGAGCTGTAGCATTTGGGTGACTGAGATGCTGCCTTTCCTTGGAAGATCCCCACAGGTGCTGCTGCTGCTTCCTCCTGCTTCTGGCATTGCCAGGAAAGGCAATGGCAGCACTGCTTAATTCAGAGTGTTTGCTTGATTTGTCTTCCCATATCTGCCCTTTTATGGCCTGGGTTACTCTAGAATGCTGCTTTAGCTCATTGCTAATCCTTTATTGCTGATGGTGCATTTCAAACACAAGTCTCCTGTTTAATTCATTGGGAACATGTTCAGCCTGCTCTGTCCTTCAGCCAAGCTGTGACTGGGTTGGCTTCTCTCTTGCTACTCTGAAATCTCCCAGGAGTCCTGTAGGATGCTGCATTGAAACAAATTCTGAATCTGTCAGGTCCCTGCCTGAAACACTTGGGTAGCTGGTTACTGGCCATGGGAAGCTAGGTGGTGTACCCATTCCTCAGGGCAGGAATTGAATCTTGGTCTCCAACTGTTTTCTGGGAATAAAACAGAATACTGAAATATTAAAGAATTGCTGTTTCACAATTCTTCTTGTTACCCTTTCTCCCTAGGGACAAGCTGTTTCCTGCATTTGGATTTGGAGCTCAGGTTCCTCCTAGCTGGCAGGTAAGGCCTTCACAACACTATGCAGTTGCTCTGTTCATCTCTGCATTCTGTCACTGATTGTAACATCCCTATTTCTAGGTGTCTCATGAGTTTGCTTTGAACTTCAATCCCAGCAACCCGTATTGTCAAGGTGAGGACACCTTTTTATTAATATTTCACTGAGAGGGATTGATGTTAGAAGTGTTGCATTTCTTTAATAACTGGTGAAAAGCATATGTAGCATGAAGGCATGCAGCAAGCTACATGTACTCTTACCTGGATGGTGACAAGAGTGTAATTGTGTTGATGCAGATTTCTGTGTGGTCTGCATAAGCTTCAGTGATTGGGACCTGATGGGATTCATCCCAGTGTACCAAGAGAGCTGGCTGATGTCATTGCTAGGCTTCTCTCCGTTATTTTTCAATGGTCTTGGGAATCTGGAGAGGTCCCAGTTAAGTGGCAAATGTTCCAATTTTCAAGAAGGGCAAGAAAGAAGACCCTGGTAATTACAGGGCTGCCAGTCTGTCTCACTTCAGTGTCTGGTAAAATTATAGCAAAAATTATTCTGGGAGTTGTTGAAAAACATCTGAAGGACAATGTGGTCATTGGTCATAGCTAACATAGATTCACGAGGGGAAGGTCCTGCTTAATTTCCTTTTATTGAAAAGGTCACCCATCTAGTATCCCTGCTTGAGCACAGCGGATTAGACCAGATGATGTCCAGAGGTCCCTTCCAACTTAACCATTCTGTTATTCTGTCAGTCTGTGCGGAAATTTTTGTTGCTGCAACTTGGTTACTTTTGTTATGTTAGAGGTGGTAGGGAATTCAGATCAGCAATGTGTCTGTTAGTCACACTTTCAAAGCAACCATCTGCTAAGTCTGTTAGAGATTGTGGTTACTTCTTCAGCAATGTGAATATGTTTGAATGTTATCTTTTAAAGGGTTGTCTCAAAATATTATTTTCCTTAAAGCCATCTTCTTTTGCAGTAGTTGTTTCAGCTAATCTCAATGGCTGGTCTGTAAGCCAGGTTAAGAACTCCTAGGACTAAGGACTCTCTCAGCACGGAGCAGTGCAGAATATTTCTTGAATGAACATTTTTTCCCCAGTTTAGTTTTTCTCTCCGGTCTAAGGTCAAGAAAGAATGGAATCTGAGAACTGGTGTTAAAATCCAAGTGTTTCCTTCATCAGTTCTGTGTTGTCTGCTTCACTGGAATCTGTGCCTTTGCTCTGTGATGGTTCCTGTGCAGTAGTTCAGAGGTAAAGCACTAAAACATGTGGTGGACAAGGTGAGCAGCAGCAGTAAATGAAAGTACATAAATACAAGTTAATATGGGGATCCATCTAAATTGCTCTCCACAAGAAAATACACCATTTAAGATCACATTTATAGGGGGAAAAACAAACAAACAAAAAACAAGAAAAGCTTCTTGCAGGGGAAAATCCTTAGAGGTTTCTCTTATAGAAATGTTTAAATCCAGGTGTCACTGTGCACAAGAGAAAAATAAGCAGTTAACTATTCCAAAGAGTTTCTGACCTTGTTGTCTAATTAGATGGTAAGCAATTAAACAAGAGAAACTGGATGACAGAGTAGAAAGGACACGGTCATAAGCATGCCTTCACTAGATTATTTTTCCATCAACTTCCATGAACTTTATTATGTCGGAAGCATAAAGAATAATGTAAAGTATACAGAATGGTGAAGAAATCCGGGAATCTTGTCTCTGCAGATGTCCACTGGTTTTAGACCTTTGCTTTGTATATTCGCTGCTATCCTGATGTTTATTTGTCCTTTAGGAGTTCACAGCTGTGTATGAGTGATTATCGTTTTGCTTCACTATTCAGTAATGCTTACAGAATAATTACTGGAGAAATTGTGAGGCTCTTCTGGCAGCTTGCATTCCTTGTGTTACAGGGATCCAAGGAATAGTTGATGCCTATCGCCAGATCCTTCCTCAGATACGACTCTATGGGCCAACCAACTTCTCTCCCATTATAAACCACGTGGCAAGGTTTGCTGCACACTCAGCGCAACAAGGAACTGCTTCTGTGAGTCCATGTTGTTTCCTGCAAATGGGTGATGTTTCTGTTTCCTGTGTTCACGATGGGATAGAATTGTATGGTAAAGTGATGCATTCTTCTTCCTCAGGATCTCAAGTTTGGTCTTGTCTTACCAGCTTCCAAAGAAGTTGTTGCTACTCCCTTGGTTCATATGTGAACCTGTACCAGTGAAGTATGCAGGGGTCCCGTGTTGGCTTTTAAACCAATTGGACTTTGTCAGCAGTTGCCTCACCCTAACCTCTCTCACCAGACTCCATCACCTGTAGGGAGAGCACACAGTATAAAGGGGCCCTGTGTGTTTTATTCCAAACAAGGTTTCACTTGAGCATGTACACAAAGACCACCTAAGAAATGTCAGAGAGCTTGACTATTTGTCCCACCGTGTTTGCATGCAGAATCAAAATATCTAGAGGGCCAAACTATCAAAGTAATGTGAGAATTGGCAAATCAGTACGCTAACTGTGTTGCAGAACACCCATACTACATCTGCAGTTGCATTGCATGTCTCATTTGTGTGTTGGCATGGCCATGACTGCTGCTAAAATTCAACTCCGTATCTTAAAACTTTATTGTACTTAAGGATGAAGGGATCATATTTCCTGATGTATTTAACTGATTCCATTTTTGACCACCCAATTAGAAGGAATTTTGATGTTTACTCTGATACTTTATGGTCTTAGCTGTACAAGGATTTTGAGTTCTACATAAGTTTGTGCATACATCAAATTAATTTCCCACACTGTGGGGTGCTTGGTCCAGGGACAGCCATTTATTATATTTTTGAGGGTGTTTTTTAGCTATTCATACAATTGGGGGAAATCTGATCTTTCTTAAGCTCCTGTGTTCTTCCCCTTCTGTCATTTCTAGAATGTCATCATGTCATGACGTTTGTCACTGCTGTATGTTCAGATTTCTAATACTTATTTAAATTACTAATAACTAAAAAAGTTTTTTTGAATTACAAACAGATATTGAATAATGTATTCTATCCTTTTTGAGATGTCAGTGAATAAAGCAGCACCCATCAGTGAGTTATTTATGCACCTTTGTTGATTTAGGATTACTTTGGTCATTGCTAGTATATTCTGACAACTGGTGTAATTGTTTTTTATAAATTGAATGTAGGCCTGTATCTTTTATCTAATGCAGAGGATTCCCCTGAAAAGCACAAGGAAAGGTGGTTTGCATAAGAAAAAACGGGAATAAACAAAAGTTCGTTTAACGTTCTGTTCTTGTCTTATCCACTGCACAATCTGCTTGCTTTTTTAGAGTAAGAAATTGCTTCATTTGCTTTCAGTTATGTGAGCTTTGGTGCTTAACTCCCTAACTGAGTATTTGTTCTTTTTTTTTTTTTTTTTTTTTTTTTTTTTTTTTTTTTTTAGCAATATTTTATCTTGCTGATCATCACAGATGGAGAGATCACTGATCTGGATCAAACCAGGCAAGCAATTGTTAATGCATCTAAGCTGCCGATGTCTATCATTATTGTTGGAGTTGGTAAAGCTGATTTCAAAGCAATGGAGTTTCTTGATGGGGACAATGGCATCCTGAAATCCATAACAGGAGAGCCAGCTGCACGGGACATTGTTCAGTTTGTGCCTTTCCAGCAGTTCAAAAATGTAAGTTGTTTTTAACTTCGTGTGAATTCTGCTACTAACATATGTGCAGTTATTACATCCAAAAAATTAGCATGTGTCTAGGCAGCTTATTAATGTTGCAGGCACCAAAGTATATGGTAAAGCACTGTCCAAACTGTTTCTTGTGAGAGTTGAGATATATGTGCTTCTGGATTCAAAACTGTGTGCCTCATAACTCTATTGCAGCTTTTCTTAGAGAGTTCTCATTGTATCATTACTATCTCTTGGCTATTGCAGTGTTACAAGGAGTAAAGGAGGTGTTTTCTCTCCTGGGATGCAAGTATTTAGTCAAGGAAGTGAGATCATTTGTCTCAGTCTCTGTTGTTGAGTCCCATGAGCAATTTAAGCTGAGATGGAATTTTTCCTGCTATTGAAAGCAGTCCTATCACTCTCCAGCTCCTCCCTGCTTTTTCTGATGGGAAACTAGTGTTCATGCATGTTACGCAGTGAATGAGGTTGAAGAATGGAGTTAAATGGAAACCCAAAATAAGACAAATTGGTAGTGGCTGGGGCAGTGTCCCACCCAGATCAAGGCCATATGAAGGCTGTGTGAGTCTGGGCTTGGGTAGGAACAAGTGATTTTCAGCAAGAGTACTCTTTGAGACTGACTGCAAGTGCTCCTAAGACTGCAGCAAGACTGAACCAGAGGGAGTGAGATGTGGACGAAAGGCAGATTGTGCTGTCTTTTCAACTTTGCTTGCCTGGCAGGTGGGGTCTGCAGTCTGAATTCTGTAAGAGAATATGTCACTGGGCTGGTAATTCCATTCCCTGCAGTATCTTTGATTTATTCTCACTGTTCCTTGCAGGCTCCCCGAGAAGCTCTTTCCCAGATGGTTCTGGCTGAAGTGCCAAAGCAGCTGGTTTCATACTATAAATTGCAGGGGTGGCCACCTGTGAAGCTGCCGGAAACGAAGAAGATGTAGATTGCATCCTCACCATAGCCATATGTATCACTGCGGTGAAGAGAGCTGTCTGCACTCACACTCTTCCCTTGCACACTTGGTGCCTTAAGGTCGTACCATTCACACTAATACTCTTACCTGCTTATACTCTGTATCTTTGATCTTTCCTGTTCCTAACTGCAAGAAATGTAAATAAGGAAGAAATGCAACTGCTGGCAGTTCTTGTCAAAGAAAAATAAACCTTGTTGGTTTTATGCCTTGGAATAGTGATAACATCATACCATGCATACTTGGCACAGCCCACCTGCTGCCTTGGTGTTAGAGTGGGCACATGCACTGAACTGCTCACGCAACACTGCTTCAGTGTTCATTAGGACAATCATATATACAGTAATGATACTGTGTACATGTTCCTTGATAATTTTTTTTTATTCTATCAAGCTGCCTTGGGAATGGGGACCCATCTGCATTGGTTGGTATGAAAGTCAGTTGGCTAGATGCCTGAGGTAGTTCCTGTTGTGCCTTCATAAGGTGCCAGTATATTTTTTATATGTAAAGGTTTATTTTTAAATTTCAGTTACTATACTTTGCAATCATCTTATTTTTTTAATCACAGTTTTGTATTAGCAAAAATTGCTTCTGTGGAGATAAAGGAAGTTGGACTTGTCATTGCACTACAAGCTGTCATCACTTTCATAAATAAATAATGTGCTGTCATTTACAGGCATGTCTGGTCTCGTTTCATTTCTGGGGTTTTTCTTTTGTTTTCCAGCAGTGTTTATGTGTGGTTTAAGGAAGATATTTGCTATGGTATTAGCCTAGGTCATTCAGCCTAGGTTGAGCATGAACAGCTGCAAAGCAGAGCAAGTTGTCTGTATCATTAGTTTTGTTACCTCTTAATCACTAAGACTGCTGAATGTATATCCTGCAGCCCTGTCCTGTAGAGATGAGCTGTTTCTTTACTGTGAAATTATGAAAGAATTTGTCTATTCTACTGCACACACCAGGAAATTGTGAGAAGAAATTGGAAGACTGCCTTGGTGATTCAACCTATGAAAATGGTAGGGCACAAATGTGTGAAAGCAGAACCATGGTGTGGATCCATATCTTCAACTGGACTAGTCATTATGGATTGTATTTGCCAGCTAACTAATTCATAGCTTGTGCTTGAAGGGCAGCTGGTCTAGGACCACACTACTCAGCAAAGAAAACTTATGTTAGTTTTTCATTCAAACATTGTGGTGACCACGATGTATTCTTCCAGTTTCTATAGGCAGCAGCAGCTTCCTCACACTTGAGGCAGCTGGACTGTCTCGCCTAAAACAGTCCATCCTCTAGCCTGCAACACCCAGTTTTCTTGCACTTGGATTCTTGAGAGAAAGCAAGCAATCTCTCTAGTTGAGTGTCTGCATAAACTGAAATGTGTTAAAAGCATGGAAGAGAGGGAGGAAAACTGCCAAGTCATCTCAGAAACTGCCCTGTGGTTCTCTACTCGTGTTTTCAGCTTATTACAACCTGTAGGCAGAGCTCTCCTTCACTCTTAGGTGTACAAACAAATCTGAGTCCAGTATGTGTATACATGTGTGTGTCCTTTTCTTGCCTTTTTAAAATGTTTTTCTTTAAAGGAGGCTTACAGCAGTAATTCTGAGATTTCAACAATCCTTTGGCCCAAGTAATACCAGTGGCATTACATAGTCTTTGGTTTCAGTTTAACATTTTTTTGGCAAGAAGCTATGAACATATTGTGACTTTCCTCCAGCCTTTAGAGGCAGAGTATGAGCTCTGAGACAGCAGAATGCATAGTGAGAAATGCATTTTGCCTCTCCTTTTTAAATAAGTCCCTGCTCAAAAGGAGGAAAAAGAATCCTTCCTAGTATCTATCTGTCTTCAATGGCTATGAAGGGAGCTTAGAAAATCTGTTCCTTAGCTGGCTGAGGTGACTGCAGATGCTGGATTTGATGATACGGGTGACTTTCTCTGTTTGGGAGAGGAAAAAAAAAAAGATGTGGTAGAGGCTGTTATGAGGAACTTCCTCCTTCTGCAGTCGGAGGTGCTGCTTACCTGCAGGAAAGTGGCTGAAATGTGAATGAGCAACAGGACGGAAGCCTGTCACTGGAGGAGGAGAAGAGCTGCATGGCTCTACACTGAGATAAAAAGCCACAGGAGGGTCAAACTTGGAAGCTGCTAAAGCAGGATGGTATGGTTCTGACTGGTTTCTCTCATTCTTGACTCTCCCTAGGGCTCCTGTTCTAGACAGAGTGGAGGCTGCTGCTGGGCAGTTCCGTCTGAGGCTGGGATGCTTTGTGCCTTGTGCCGCCCTGGGCGTAGCTGGAATGCAGGCTTGCAGCATGACTTGCTCAAGGCAGATAAGAGCTCAGGTTTCCTTCCCCAGGAGGCTGTGCTTTTCTCACCCTGTGACTATGCATTCTATGCCATTCCACATCCCTCTTTGGTTTTATGTCCTCCATAAGCTTGTTCAGGCTGTGTCCTGTTGGACTTTTGTTCACGAGTTGTTCCTATGTGCAGACAATCTACATTCAGCTGAGAGGTATGGTGCAGGGGGCACCTTGCTCTCCAGAACTGCTGCCACCCATTCTTCATGATGGATCTGGACTTGAGAGCCATTCCACCCTTGCCTTTTGGACTATTTTCAGGCAAGAGTCCCGCTCTGAGGAGCTGCCCCTTCAAGGGCTACGCTTCCTTCTGGGCATGCTGCTCCATCCAGAGAAAAAGAACAGCTGCAGACCTACCTCCAGTTTAGTAAAGCCTATGCCTTCAGCTGTAGCTGCGCTATCCTTGTCATCAAGAGAGGAGCTTGATTTGTGTTTCTTAGTTTTGAGATATCCATTGGAGAATCACACATTCTGTGCTGGCCAGGGCCCTTCTCACAGCCTCTGCTGAAGGGAACAAAAGCAGCAGGATCTTGCTGCAGGCACAAGGGTAGTTCACTGTCCTGTGACGGGCTCGGAGCTTGTGGTTGCATGAGGAGCCTGTTGGAGCCTGAGGACCTTCAGAACCCTCTCAGAAGTCTGCTTACCCTAGCCTTGGCCATAGACTTGGGGAAGCATGTGGGCACTTCCAGTCACCAAAGGTATTTTAGCCTTGGGGCTTTGTATAAATGGAAAGCTATTTATGTGGGAGCTCCTCAGGGAGCTATTACTTCTAGGACACCTGGCAATAATACTCATGACACTTCAGGTCAGAGTTTGCCATGCATACAGAGCTTCCTCCTGGTGCAGATCAGGCTCTAAGGGGTAAGGAAGCTATGCAAACTCCCTGAGGAGAGATGACTTGTGATCTCCTTTGAGCAAGTACCAGGTTTGTCTGTCAGCAACACTCTTTGGTGGTCTGAATGCCTGCTTCAACAATCTGAATTACATCCCTTCTACCCCTCCAGCCACAACTGGGTTAAGGAGTCAGTGCATTCAGCTTTCTGTGCTGCTGCCTTAGACTGAATAGTTCATACGTTTGGGTTCCCAAATGTGGTGCCAGACACTGCCCACCTGCTGTGCTTCATTGCTATGCAGTGAAGCTGTATCCTTGTCTGCCATGGCTCATTTCTACTGCCACCAGCACCTCTTTCCTGGTTCTTGAGTAAGCCTGCTGGATAAGGTGAAGATAAAGTAGGTAGCCGCAGGGCTGGCTCTGGAGCAGCCCAGCATTGCCCAGGCATGATTCAGTCACTTGGTGTTTGTGGAGCTGAATTAGCTGCTCTGACCCTGTGGAACGTGCCCTGTATGGCAGGCATGCAGGCAGGTGTCTTGGCACAGGGTCCTGAGTGGGAGACCCTCAGGAGAAAGAAATATTTGCAAAATCCTGCTGAACTCATGACAACACGATTACTTTGATCTAGCCTGTGTCCTGGGCTCCAGCTTCTCTCATTTATGAGTTCTTGCACAGGTGAGCTGTGAGCTGCAGCTGAGCCTGGCAAAAATGGGGAGCGCAGCAGGAACTGCAGCCACTAGGGGTTGGTGGCCCATGACCTGTCCCACGTGGCTCCCATTCCCCACCCTCCCAGTTTGCTGTGGAGGGTTCTGATTGCTGCAGCTGTGATCTGTGCTATGGAAGCCATCGGGCTGGGGGACAAGAGGGGCTGCAGCTCCAGTTCCAGAGGTCCTGGGTGCCTGTCCAGGGGCAGATCTGAGCTCCATCCTCACCATGTTGCTCCGCCACTAGCAGTGCACTGAGGCCGGTGTCCTCCAGCTTTGGAGGAAGCCCTTGTCCCCGCTGCAGCACCGTGCCTGTTGTGAGGCATGGCTGAGATGGCCTCCCATTGCAGGGGTTCCCTGGGCCATGTTCCCCATGCTGTTGGTGCGGCTGCAGGGCACAAGGATGACACCATCAAGGCCTGGCTACTGCAAAACAAGCCCGCAAGCCCCCTGTGGCCAAGTGTTCCCCTCTGCTTGGCTCTGCGACAGTGGGGAGCCATTGCCTGCCGAGTGCCAGCCTTGTGAGCGGGGACAGGGAGGGGACGGCCAAACCGGCCGGTTGAGCCGGGGCTGAGTCACACAGCGGGTGGAGCAGGCCGAGGAGCGGGAGCAGGCCGAGGAGCGGGGCAGCGCTGCTGGCCGGCGGCTCCATGGCGCTCAGTGTCGGTGTCCGGCGGCTCTCCCACCTGCCAGGCCGTGGCGAGCGGCAGGTGCAGCTCAGCTTCCGAGGTGGGCCCCGTGGGCAGGGAGGGAGGCTATGGCTGGGGGCTGTCATCCCTGGCGGTGAGAGCAGGGCCTGTGCTGGTTGTGGCAGAGCCTAAGCCTTCTATCTCTTTCCCAAGGCTTCACGCAGAAGACGAGGAAAATCCGCTGCGGCTCAGAGGCCGTGTTCGGGGAGGTGAGTGTTGTGACAACTGGTGAGGACCAGGGCAGTGGGCACTGGGGTGTAGGGACAGGGACCGGGACCGGGTGGCCCCTTGGTCAATGCCTTGTGGGGCAGGAGGCTGAGTGAGGAGGGGGTGTGTATCTCAGGGTAGGATGGGAAGCCTTCCTCCCTGTGCCCATCTTCACTGTCCCTATGCTGGAGCCTGTGGTGCCTGGCTGTCAGGACTTGCAGGAGAGTCCCATCTCTCATCTCCTGTCCCATCAGGATGTCTCTGTGTTGCCTGAGGCACCAACATCTGGGGCAATCTGTAACGTGCATGGCATTAACCTAATATGCCTTTTGGAAAGCCTGGCTGCTCTTGCAGAAATGAGCCCTCCCCAAAACAATTTTTCAGATCAGTGAGCCCAATCGGCACCAAGCCACAGGGTGGGTAGGAGCAGGACTCAGGGCAGCAGGGATCTGTCCCTCTCACCAGCCACCAGCTGGACAGTTTGGGAGCGGGGTGAATCACAGCCTCACACATCTTCGCAGCGTGCCTGCTGCTTGGTGGCTCCCTGCCCGCCTGTCACCCCCTGTCCACCTCCCTTCATGTGCTGGAGGCTTCAAATGGAGGCAGTGAGAGATGGCAGCAAAGGGAGGGACATGGTGTGGCATCCCTGGGAGCAGCTAAGTTCTGGGACGTCCTTAGCTGAAAGTTGGTGCATATAAAACAAGGGGATGGGGAAATGGCTCTGGGCCCTGACTGCTTCCAGTAGGGTGAGGGGAAGTGCTTTGCAGATGTGGGCAGAAGCTGCCTTCCTCTCAGCAGGAGCTGGGAGGCTTTGGGAGGTCCTGCAGAAAAGGAGCACGTGAAGCTTTCTGTGGCTAGATAGCCTCACTTTTAGGAGGAGAGAACAATAAATGACTGT